CAGGGTAAACTCCTGTCGCCCAATGTAGGAGAGACCTGGTGCTAAAAGGCATTGGAGTGGAAGCTCAGAGCAGCGCAAAAATAAATACATAGATTAGGTGCAAAATGCAGTAAAAACATTTGAGTTTATTTTGCAGATTCAGCTTTTAGTGCAGAGATGATGTCATGATTCAGGGATGATGTCACAATGCAGAGATGATGTAAAGATGCAGAGATGATGTCACGATGTGGAGATGATGTAATGAGAGCGAAGCAGAGTCTCCATTCATCACATGATTTACAGTTTTTCAACAGTCTGATGGCGGTGGGCAAAAAGCTGTTACAGAACCCACCTGTAGCAGCCTCTCCTCACCGCCATCAGACTGTTAAACTGTTTTAAAAAAAAAAAGGAAAAGCAATAAATTTAAAACTAAAAAAAACTTTTATGAAAATAAGAACAGATACAAATAAAGAGGAATAAAATGATTATAGAGTTTTTATGTCATAAACAGAAACAGGCAGCTCTCCTTGTTTACTTCTTTATTCAGATGATGTCACATGATGATGTCAGTGTGTGTGGTGGGGGGGTGTACCAGTCTCTCCCTGCGCTTGTCAATCAGCACATGACGTCACATATCTGGAGCCTTTCCGGTGCAGGAGGGCGGGGCATGAGGGTTCTTTTGGGAGAGACACACACGGATGTCAATTTATCCCACAAATGCCGACGCACACTTCCGCCCACGGTGGCTAGGCCTTCAGAATAAGAGCATGGAACAAAGTCTGCAGTAAAAAACTAAGCTTTGATCTGTTCTTTGATCATTGTTACAACATTCATGTATCAACAAAAAAACTGCTGTAAAGTAAAACCGATCCACTGACTGCATAAAGGGGCAACATTAAACAGTGGAAACAATCATGGTGGGAACATCTGCGACTGGTTAATTCATTCTGCCGTCTGATAGGAAGCTCGGCTCACGCTCGCTCCTGACCGCTGCTTCCAAGATGGCCGCCAGTCAAACTTTGACGTTTTTCAGCAGATGTTTTTTACTTTGTCTGGTTGTGTTTAGGTTAAAATTAAACACTGATGATAAAACAGAGGGGGCCGCCATTAAAGACATTTCATCCCAGCGCTGCGTGCCCCGAGCCTGTGACATCATCAATGACCCCTCACCCCCCCACCATGGACTGTTCTCCCTGCTGCCCTCTGGGAAGAGGCTTCATTCAATGCAGGACCAGCAGGTTTCCTGTGATTTCACAAGTACAGAGTGACGAAATGAACTCTCTGCGTTTAACCCCATGGGGAAAACACTGCGGGAGGGAATCAACTCTATCACTGAAATCTACTATCTATAGATCTACAATGCAGCGATAGAGTTATTCCTTCTTGCTATCATCACAACCCCACCTCTTTACAGGGGAACAGAAGACCTCGCCGGTTCAGCCAGGCCAACAATCCCCCCTAATGACCCTCCCCCTTTCAGAGACATAGACAGGTATCAGGTATTGCAGCCTAAAGTGCTCGTTATCCTCCCCCAGCAGTGTGTCGCAGATATTTTATATTTATGCTCAACATTGAAGCGTGGTCTGCGCTGTTATTCCACGCCACAACGCCAGAGGGCCAATCAGGAACTAGCTGCGGGTCTAGATACGGCCGAGGCGGCGAGGAAGGGGGGGCAAGTTTGTCCAACAACGGAGGGACATGAGGGCCAGGTGGAAAAAGGGTCCCAGCGTTCTCACCTCGCTCTGCTAGCTGCTCCATCTTCACCAGTCGTTTTCCCCATTGGGGTTCGGCCAACCGGACCAGGCGGTAAGGAACCAAACAGGAAATACGCATAGAGTAGAGCGGATGTAGGTTTGACCAATCAGAGGCCTCCTGTCTGCGCTCACCTACAGTTTTGGAGAGGTGCAGCAGGGAGTCTGCGGAAGGGGCGGGGCATATCTGCGTTCACTGCAACACACGCAGACTACCTGGTTTCTGAGTATAAACCAGGGTAACAAAGAAGCCAAGCGGCCCCCATTCCAAAGGGGTGGACCCGTCCGTTCATTTCAATCGCACGTTTTCTAAAACAAAACTGGATAAAACCTGAAACTAAACACTATTTCTGACACTTGCTGGATGGAAGAGAAACGGCATCAAACTTGGAAACAAAGTCCAGAGGATCGATTTTGACTTTTTTATAAAGCAACAGAGTTGATTTAATGAGTTGAAGGATCAGAAGTTAAACCAGCAGGTTTACATTCAGAGCGGCAGGAACGAACTGAGAGCGTCCGAAGCTTTTATTTTGAAGCTGCTTTGACCGGAAGCAGGGCTCATCCTGTCGCTCCTGCTTTGGATCCTCCGACCTGGATTCAGCCATATTCCCAGAGCTTAGCCACACCGGCAGCCGCCTCGAACGGACCCGAAACCCGCCGTTTATCCCCGGGAAGCTGCTGCTCGGTTCCGACGGACCTTCTAAAGTCCAGACGGTTCCGGTTCGGACCCGCTGGACCTGCTCCCGGGCTCACAGACCGACCGGCGGACATGGAGCTGCGGAGGTCCGCCTGACGACGTCCCGATCCCGGAGAGGAAATCCACATTTGATCCCGGATTACAGCCGCTGGGATTCCCGCCGGTGACGGAGCGGAGGCGGCGGAACACGGCGGCGGCTCTGCGGCTCCAGACGTCGGGAATGTTTTCCCAGAGCTAACGGGCTAGCTGCTGCTAGCAGGAAGCGGAGGGAGCAGCCTGAGTCAGAGCGGCGGGGGGAGGAGCCACCCAACCCGGCCGGGATGTCGGCCCAGGAGCGGCTGAGGAGGCTGGAGGAGCTCCTGCTGGAGCGGAAGGAGGAGCGGAGCCTGAGCGTGGAGGCGCTGCTGGACCTCCTGCTCGGCCTCTGCTCCGAATGCTCCAACTCCCCCCTGAAGAGGGAGAAGCACATCAGCGACTTCCTCAACTGGGGTAAGAACCGGACCGGACCGGACCGGATGCGTCAGTCCAGGGACCGGACCCGATCATCAGAACCACAGACTGGAGGTTCTGGTTCTGGTTCTGGGAGGAGGTGAGGGATGGTCCAACTGGACCAGAACCAGCCGGACCCGGTTCTTGGTTCTGCTGGTAATTCTGGTTCTGGGTCCAGGTTCTGGTCCTGGCTGGTGGATGTGGGTCGGGGTCCATCTGGAGCGGCCCGCCTGGCCTGGTTCCGTCTGGCCCAGTTTCTCAGCTGTCCTCATTTCAGTGACCTGGATCCAGGAGCTGCTGATTTCCATCCGCATCGGATCCAAGCAGAACCAGAACCAGAACCAGACATCAGGTCCGGATGAACAGCTGAGATCTCACCTGTTTCTGGTTCTGATCCAGACAGAATCAGGTGAAGGTTTGGACCTCCAGCGGTCCATCTGAACCGTGTCCCTCAGGGTCCATCGGGTCCCCATGTCCTCCAGCAGGAACAGGTTCTGTCCCGCTATGGAGAGCGGTTCTGGTTTGGGCTTGGTTTGTCCCACAGAACAGCTTTTGGACCGGTTCCTGAGGT